TGCGCGTGCCTTTCCCCACGTAGCTAGCGCTGGCTTGCTTTCCAGCCCCACCCAGAATCTCCCCGCAAACCTTCTCCACTGTATCTTCTGAACCAGCCTTTCGAGTTCACCTCACTGCACCAAGCCAAGGCAGTGTGTGTGCTAGTGGTCAGATCATAGGGCTGGGTGCTCGCAGTCTTGGGGTGTAACCCTGGCTCTGTGGCTGCCTTGCTGTGTGACCCTCATCTGCAAAAAGGGGCTCGGTCCCTTAGCTACTCCCCAGGGTAGTAAGGCGCAGGCTCAACCAGTGAGCGCGTGGGGCTTTGTGCTTCTGGAAGGGGAGGGGTTATACGGAGGAGCAATGCAGTGTGGTGGTGCATACTGACGGGATGGGGGGGAAGGCGGGGGGAGGAGTGCTGCGTGCTGAGCCTGGTTCACCCACTGACTTGCTGTTTGAACCTGGGCAAGTCACGTCCCTGCTCCCTGTCGGGTCCCACCTCTGTCCTGGCTCTTTAGACTGTAAGTTCTGCAGGGCAGGGCCTATCTCTTACCACACGTTTCTAGAACAATCGGCCTGCACTTAGTTGTCACCTGCCGGTACTACTGTACTAGCAATGTCAAACGCTTCTTACTCCCCCGTCTGCTCGGCCAGCTCAGGCCGATTTCTCTCCTGCATGCTGCCTCAGCTCGCCCCCGTAAAACACCAGCGTGCACAGTGCATGGCGACCCCAGTCAATCTGTGTTCATAATACCCGCCCCCGCTGGTATTGCCCGTGGCGCTGTGTGAGCTGGAGCTTTCACCCGCACCCAATGCTGCAGCAAGCGCATGGCACAGCGATTGCTGCCCAAAGGCCGGTCACGTCACTCCAGCCCCACGCAGCGCACGAGGGGGAAACCCTTCCATGACCACGCGGGGCGTTCATTAAGGAGGCTGTGCACAGCCGAGCATGTCCACGCTGACGCTGCTTTCCAGCACACAGGCGCCTCTCTAATGCACCTTGGCCGTACGCACCTGGCTTGCCTCGAAGGCTCGGGCGGAGAGCACGTCAGACTCTTCCACACGCTGCCCACAGTATGGTTTATGACCGGCAGCCCTGTTTTGCCCTGCGCCTCAGCAGGCCTCGAGCACGTGCAGCCTCTGTGCTCTGGAAGGGACCTCGCCAGCCCCTTCCCTGCACCCGGTCGTTGCCTCGACACTAACCAGCATGCCGCACATGGAGCAGGAGTAGCTGGCTGCACTTGGCTTAACAGGTCGGGATTAGCTGGGCATTGCTTATCAGGTTGCAACTGACCAGAAGGGCAAACAGGAGATGCCATAGCAGAGCAGCGCGCCGGGCCATGTAGGCTGGTACCCAGTATCCAGCAGCTGCTATTTGATATTTATGTGGAAGGCAACCGCCTCCCCGCTCTGCCTCCAACCCATGAATCAATGCTATAAACCTGAGCACAGATGAACTGGGGGGAACATTTTACCCACGCACAATCTCGTCCATCTCTCAGCTTTTCCTTACACCCTGGCACCAGGGCCCTCATGCAGCAATCCTCTGAGCATGTGCAGCTGCAAATCTTAGCCATGCTCAGCAAATTAGACAGCCTTTCTCTGTAAACACAAACCTGCTAAGCCTTAGTGTGAACTCAGTGAAACTGGGGTTGCCACAGGAGTAACGCCACTGGCATCAGCTGAGCCATAGCGGTGCCAAACAGGTTTGAACGAGCGTGGGATAAACCCTGCTCCCCCCCCACCCCGTGGGTCAGAGCCTTTGCTCCCTGGACTGTGCTAGTCACTCCCGGCGTGTGCCGCTGCATCCACAAACTCCACATCAAGATGAGCAGCAGCCACTGTACCTTTATCATGGCTCTCTGGCAAGCTCAGCTCTGTGCTTTTGCCATGGCTTGCCTTACCCACGTCCCCGTCATACACTTGCGCAGAACACAGGAAGCCTGGTGCCATTGACTGGGTTCATGGCACGCTGAGGTCCATCTGCCTGTCTATCCCTTTTTTACAAGCTACCATGTTTGAATGGCTGCCACGCGCTGGGCACTGAGCTATCCGGGGTGGATGAAAGACCCCAGCTATTTTCCCCAAGAGAATCTGGCTAGCTGAGAAGCATAATTTCTCTCCCCCTGCCGCCCACTGGGCTGGAAGCTCCTTGTGGTAGGACTGTGTCTAGCTCTGTGTTGTACAGCACCTGGCACAATAGGGCTCGCATCTGACTGGAGTTCCCAAGTGCAACTGGCATACAATTAATAAGCCAGAACCCAACCAGCAGTGATGCTGATATACTCTGCACAAGGGCTTGCCCTAACCCTGCTAACGTGTTGCACTTCTGTAGCAGCTCCCACCTGAGGACCTCAAGGTGGTTCACAAATCGTCTTGACCATAGCCTCCCAATGCCATGAGTGGTAGGGCAGTACTTATGACCACCCTGTCCCAAGGGTCTGAGAGGCCTTGCCCAAGGAGTCCTTGGGAAGAGGCAAGAATAGAGCCCAAAGCTCCTGACTTCCAACCCCATGGCCAGCCACAGCACAATCCCATAAATATATTGGTACACCAAGGTCTTCTAATGATCACTGGTTGGCCCACAGTTCCTCTCTCCGTAACCTGTCCAAAATGGCTGGAGAAGGTCATAAGCAAATAGCCCGTCACTGTTTGCAGTGTTGGTAGAGCTGTGTTGGTCCCAGGGTACAAGAGACAAGGTGGGTGAGGTAGTAGCTTTGATTGGACCAACTTCTGTTTCTGGAAGAGACAAGCTTTCGCGCTACACAGAGCTCTTCCCTAGGAGAAGAGCTCTGTGTATCTCGAAAGCTTGTACCTTCCATCAGCAGAAGCTGAGCCAGTAAAAGATGTTATATCACCCACCTTGTCTCCTTCAATGATTGGGCATTTAGCAACTTGTGAATGTTGGAGCCTTGGCCAAATCCACCAGGAGTCTATAAACACCCTCAACTGCAAACATGCTTAGGGCTCAGCTGTGGCTTAGACCACACACTCATGCAAGGGAGAGTAAGAGACCCTTCCCATCTGCACTGGCTAGCCAGAACTCGGTCTGGGGCACTGGGAGGGGAGCCGGCATTGCATGACCTCATAAGAGATCAGGGCATTTTATGAACTCCATTCCCCAACGCACAGAGAGGCCATTGCATGCTGGCTTAGCCCTTGCTTCCTGGAGCAGGTGTCTGAGGAGGAGGTGAGGAATGCACAGAGCCTTGGCCCCACCCCTGACAACCATACTGGCCAGCACAGCTGAGCTGGCATACGGGAAGAAGAGGGATATAATTTGCTGCTGGTATTAGCCAGTGACAAATTACAACGCTATCCCGCCGCCATCCAGCTTGGAGCACGGGGATGCAGAGAGCGAATCAGGGCTCAGAGAGGTGTGTTGCGCCCAGTGACTTGTGGTGCTACTCATGGGGTGAAGAGCATAGACTGCATCTCAAGGTTGGCTGTCCTTAGCTCCTACTGCGTCCACCCTCCACCTGATCTGGCGAGTGACCCAGTCTGCAAGCCACACACACTTGAAAATTATCCCCAAAACAGACTCACCCCTTCACAAGTGCAGAGTAAATTTGTTTTATTGAACATTCAGCTATCTAAACTTAACTCACTAAAAAAGAGTTCCTGTTTTGAAGCATCCATTTTATCCTTGTCTTGCAGAACCAGTCTAAATACAATTATCTGTGGCATGATTGCACTGTTTTTCAAAAACAAATGGCATGTACTGTATGGTAAAACTCTAGGCAGGTCTAGCTGGTCAAATATTCCCACTAAGAAAGATAGTTTTTAACCCAACGACTCATATGATTAAATACGGGGGGAGACTGAACAAGTGGTGGCCCGTTGTGTTTTGTAGTCTTGTAGCCCATTGTGTTTCCTGCCATGGCATCAGGGGCTCGGGACCCTAATGTGTTGGGTACCATTGGAAAAGCCTGCGCATGAAGAGCTGTGAATGTTTGGACCTCGCAAGCTGCACTGTCAAGGAGGAGAGACTTGGTGCAGCTGTTTGTTAGGAAGGAAAAAGGAAAAAAGAAAAAAGATATCGGCGCGATATTGCTCTGGCCAACTCCAGCCAGATCCCGCTCCCAGGGCAGTCAAGGACAGCCTTCCCATTGAACTTCACTGGGTGCTGGATCAGCATACCCAGTGTACATTGCCAAAGCTGGAGCTCTGTGATAAGGGACCCAAGAAACAGCGTTACCGTCCTGCTCCTTGTGCGGCTTTGGACCTAAGCAGGGTGGGAAAGGGCCAAAGGTAAACACGAGAAAGCTCATGGGTTGGACACCATTTATTTCGTTTGATTCCTCTTTCAGAAATGCATCATCCGCATGTTACAATATGTCCATGAAGATGGGACTCTCAACACACGCCGTGTTGACACATCTTTATTCCCATTGTGGCCAATGGTTACCTAGTGGGAGGCAAATTCTAGGCAAACGCTGAATGCTTCTGAAAACAACACCCATCATTTCCAATCAGATTTGGCCTCAATTTATACAAGGGACTGTAGTGCCGATTCCATCGCCTGGTACAAGTTGTCAATTCCCCAACAAACTCACCACCACCAACAACCCTACGTCAGTTTCCAAGGAGTCTGTAGTTTAGTTGTCCACATGCTACCTGTAATGAAAATTCTAGCGATCAAGCCTAGCACAGTTTAGTTTAGACTCCTAAGTATATTGTAACAATCCCAGATTTAACACCGTATGTATTTTGCAGAACATGTGCTATTCAGCCAGCCAGTTAAAAATGTAACATATGCAACCTTAGGGGAAAAATGATTGATTGCTCCATTTGCACTGGCAAACATTTACAATTCTCTCATTTATTTTTTAATCTGCTAATAAAAAAACAAAAGGAAAACTGAAAACTAAAAAATACACCCCAAACCCTGAATGCCAAGAAAGGCAAACTTAGGAAAATGCCATGACACAAGAAGTGACATATTCAAAAGGGACATTTTTTTACGGTTTTTTTCTTCACAACTGCGTGCAACAGAAATGGACAGAAAAAAACGAGATGTAAATCATGACACAAAACATGCATTCATTTTATTCACAAAACAGCCTGGATCGCTAAAACATTACAAACAGCATTTCAATTTACTGATGTAGAGAGAGCTGGAGAGACGGGGATTTGAACGTAAGAGAAATATTAGCTTTCAGAACTGCTTCAGCACAGGTCCTGCAATTTTTTTTATTTTGCTTTTAACTTCAGTAAGTTTATAAAAATGATTTCTATAAGTAAACCATTGCAGTTAGGATCTTGTTTTCCCTGTATGCAGGATTTCTTGTTCTATATTAATAAACTAACAATGGTTTTTTTTCCAAGACTGCCCATTTTGCAGCAATTCTTTCATTTTTAATACCAAGCTTCTTGCTGGTTAAACTTACATATGGGAATGGTTAGGAAAAGGGATACTACATCGTTTTAAACATATTCTCATTTATAAACATGAAGTTGAGGCATTCTAGAAACTATCCACTCTATTTTATGATGGGAAATAATCAAATAAAAAGTATAAATGAGGGTGTAATTAAACAACTGTGCTAAATTACAGTAGTGCTTATTAGTAACTAGATTTTAAAAGGTTACTGTAAATTTACATTCTCTACACAAGAACTGCATCTTCCACACATAAACAACATCAACACCAAAACACAGAAAGAAACTGATTGTCCATACTCTGTCTATTAAGTCTTGGTACTTTACAGATCCATTTTTTTATTATTATTATTTGAAAAGCAGTTAAATGTTTTACTAGGACTTGAAGATGTTAAAACAAACGCAAAAAAAATATATATATAAAAACAGGAATGAAATCTGCGAGAAAATATTTTTGGTTCTAAAGAGACACGGGTGCATCCATTCATTTCAGCCAAAAAATTCCTTGCCTGAGACAACACAAGCAAGCAGTGACATTGCACTTGGATGACAGAGCTTTGGAATTCTCATTCCTACTGAAACCATCTGAATGCAGCTCCTGTAGGAAGCATCACCTTCTGGAAAGAAAGAGAAAAGAAAACAGGGACACATTAAGAGTCAGGTGCATGCGGGAAACACAACTGCTACTAAATATGTCTGCTCTGCACACAACCCTTGGGCCGGTCACAGAAATCTTTCCTCGTGAAATCAGTCCCATTACTCCTCAAGGATGAAATCCCAGCCCAAGGTCCCACTTAAGCCCAAATGAGGATGGGTTTGCAAAATCTGGCCCTGCGTACAGGTTGTTAGGCAGGGGAGGGGGTCCCCAAGAAGCACCATGTTTATGCTAGGGACCTTGTCAAAGAGGTATTAGCAGGCAGTAATGCTAATACGATCAACTGGTAAGTTGATTAAAGGCAGCTAAGTAAAAGCAACGTATGACAACATGCAAATTTTGTCTGGAGTGCACTGCCCTCCCTGCTGGGGCACGCTTTGCACTCACATTTCAGTGTCTTTGGGGTTCTGTTACTATACAGCTGGACTTGTCCTGCGGGGGAGACTTACGCCTTTTAGCAGTTGCAGCCTTTGGTGGGGGGAAAAAAGAGAAAGAAAAGTCCACACAAAAGAGGAAAATCTGTATCGGATGGGAGACAAAATATCTGCTTTGTAATGTGAGGAGGGAGGGAATAGTTTTATTTAGGGGATAAACCCCCTCCCCCCCTTTGGAACACACGCCTTTGGAAACACAATGCACAATTCCTCCTGTTTCAGGCTAGCCACTTCTCCCTCAACCATCCCATTGTCTGTCTGCTGATTAGGGCACAAAGGGAGCCAGCAACTGCTAAGGGGCCCTGAGTGCTACACTGTACCAGGGTACAGGGAGCTCTGCCTTCACTAAGTCACTCCCACAGTCCTGGAAGGCTGGCGGCTGCAACACACGCTCTGTCCTTTGCCTGACAGGCCCTGCAGCCCCCAGGCACGATCTGGAATGGGGCTCAGCACCCCTGACAACCAGTGGGCCAAATCCTGAACCAAAACTTTCAAACCCAGCTGCCTAATGTCAAGCTCCTAAATCCAAATGACAAGACACAACCTGATTCCCAAAGGTGCTGAGCAACCATCAAATCCTATTGAAATCTATGCTCAGCACCTTTGAAAAACAGGTTGTTCCTAAGTAGTCCTGAATATGGCTCTAAGGAGCCTAACTTTAGGCCCCCCAGCTTTGAGAATTTGGCCTCCAAGGGACAGGATCCAGCCTTGCTCAGGCAAACTCCCATTCACTTCAGGGAGAAGTATGCTTGAGTGTGCAAGAAGTGATTGGGCCCACTGAGAAAAGCTCAGCACACCTCAAAATTTGGGCTTGTGTTGGCACATTAGTAACTGGTGAGCATGCTGGCCCAGAGGCCCTCTGTTCTTTACAAGAACGTCTTGTGCAAAGTTCTCCTTAGCCAGCTCTACCCTGGGAAATGCAGATGGCACTGCCAGTCCTGCTCAGAGCCAGGTTTAGCCACCGTTTCTGGAGCACGGGTCCTGTCTGCGCTCTCAGCGAAGCTGTGGTCAGCTGCTGCCATCCTCCACTACAGGGAAATCCCCTAGTGGGGACTTAGCCTGCAGGCGCTTTAATAAAAAAATTATGCATTTCAAAGGCAGGAAAAGAAAGAGTTGGCCTAAGTCTGCTCCATCACATCTGCACACAGATTTCATAACAACCAGCTGGGCTAGTAACTCAAGCTAATACCTTGGATCATGTTCTCCAAACCCCGCATCTCTGCTGCATCTTTTAAACAGTTCCTTACAAAGTGAGATTCAGGTGACATCTGCTAATTAGCGTTCTCATTTCAAATGAACAGCATTTCACCGGGCAGTCACTCTCAACATCTCTGCCCGGCTACCACACACATCTTCAGTGACAGAAAGGGAGGTTTGTTTTCAACCAGAGGCAGAACGGGTGTTATTCAGCTTTCAGTGCGGGTCACACCTCAACCCTCGTTTCCCACTGGGCGAAGCCACAAGGTTATGGTTGTGATATGGACAAAAGGACCGCTCGGCACTAAGCTGAGACCCAACAAACTCACTGTGCCTGAGAACTGCCTGACCTGGCGCTGTGACATTGGTTTTTAATATGAAGAAAGGAAGCATGCCTGCCTGGGAAAAGGATATCTCCTCCACCCACAAAGGCTCATCTTAGAAGGGTTTCACTCAACAGTCCGGGGGGAGGGAAGGAGCTACAGAGAATGCTTGCTCCTAAAGGGCATCTGGAAAAACAGCTCTGTGATTGTTCCAGCCGTCCACTTACTGTTCCAGACACAATGGAACAAGCTCCTACTTCCCCTGTGTCTGATGTAGATTACAATGTCCGGCTTCCACTGAGTCGGATACAGAAAAGGCAGGCCAGCCTTCCCAGTGCAGCTGGCACGGCAAGGTAACCTTCCTTTACAAAGCTACGCTAGCCTCATGCTGATTGCTGAGCCTGCCCCAAACCTCCCCTTCATTTCAGGCCATTCAAAAACAGGCTAGGCTGGAGCACTTTGGGAAATCAGCAAATTAGAAAATGAGGGACAGAGCCCAAGACGGCAGAAATGAGCAATGCAAACGGGCCTTTCTGGGCACCTGTCAAACAACACACGCATTAAAGCATGGCTCATGCATCCACATTTAAATGATAACACCTAGTGTCTTCTGTTCAGATGGTAACACACTTTACCAAAGAGCTCACAAGTATTATCACCCAGGTTACAGATAGAGAGACGGCGGCACAGAGAATGCTGGGACTTGCCCAAGGTAAGCAACAGAGTCAAGACTAGAACTATGTCTTCTGCCAGTCGGAGACCTTACCCTCTGAACCACATGGCCCTTATTAAACCTGATCACTTAAAAGGACAAACTCTCAAGAGCTCAGCTTTACACCGCAGTCCCTTGCATTTATGTAGTGTCTGGGAAATGCAGCTAGTGTACAGTACAGTTCCAGTACTTAGTATGGGGTTTGATGGGAAAGAGAGAAGGAATGTCTTCACACAGCACACAGTCAACCTGCCAGGGGATGTTGTGAAGACCAAAACTATAACTGGGATTAAAAAATAATTAGATAAATTCAGGAGGATAGTTCCATCAGTGGCTACTAGCCAAGATGGTCAGGGAGGCAACACCATGCTCTCAGCATCCCTAGCCTCTGACTGCCAGAAGCTGGGAGTAGACGACAGGGGATGGCTCACTTGATGATTGCCTGTTCTGTTCATTCCCTCTGAAGCACCTGGCACTGGCCACTGTCGGAAGACAGGATACTGGACTAGATGGACCACTGGTCTGACCCAGTGTGGCTGTTTTTATGTTCTTATTAATTTCAAACTGCAAAAGGCATGTGAGCTGGCAGAAATTAATTATCCGACCTAGGACACTGGGGCCAACACCCTGGTTCTTGCAGAGCGCACCATGGGATCTTTAAGCAGCCACAAACGGTCAAGTCCTCTGGTTTACATCACCTCTGAATGGCAGCACTAGCAACATTCAGGGAAGAGCACTGCACACGGGGTATCCTAAACTATCTCCTGCTGATCCTTGGGTTCTGCTTCCAAGTTCAGACCCGGCTTGACCCTTCTGAGATCCCACCATATCACAGCACATGGAGGAGAAATAACAGACATCAGAAGAGACCAGTTTTGAGTTGTACCCTTTAAAGAAGAGGCTGTCAGGGAGTCAGCATTAGCTAAGGGAACTGAACTAGGAAAGCTTTTCAAAGCTCACATTGTGCTGAGGACCCACTGGTGAATGATACACAGCAAGACAAAGGAGTGTTCACCGGGGATTACAGGTCTTCCAGCCTGGATACTGAGGGAGATCTCCTACCCAAGAGTGACAGGAGGCTTATGCTAGGCACTGCTTGCTGTAAAGGCAGCAGGACAGGAAACTTACCAATGCCAGAAGAAACTTTCTAGCACGTAGGACTCCCCAGGGGCAGCGCGGGAATTCTGAGCTGGTGGAGATGTAATGCAGGAGCCAAATGTACCTCTCCTTCAGTTCCGGCATAGCCAAGCTGGCTGAGGCTACTGATGGGGAATGGCAGGTTCCCCCAGGACAACTATGAAGCACTGCAACAGCACTCATGTGGACGAGGACAGGGTGGGCTAGTGAGGAATAACCATCTTCACCCCAGACTGGATCCACTGGCACAAACACATCCAGCCTCTGGCAAGGCTTGACAAAAGGAGGGATGGAGAATGACCTGCCCTGCAGATAGTCCCCCTCCCTCCAATCCTACACCCTCTTTTTTGGCCCAGGAGGAAGCCATGGTATTTTTTCCAGCAAAGAGTTTATCGGAAACCTGGCGGGGCCTGACATGTACCACGGAATACTCTACGGCTGTCCTGACATTGCGCGAGTGCTGCTTCCATCCCTGCAGGCACAGAAGAATCGGGACTGGTGTTAGGAAACACTGGCTCCTGATCAGAGTCTAAGTGGGTTGTCCCCAGGGGCAGCAGCTGGGGTTTCCCCCGCTTCCTCTGAAGCATCAGATAGGGACTATTGCCAGGGGCTGGATATTGGATTAGATGGACCAATAGGCTTATCGAGCAGGGCAATTCCTAGGTTGCCATAAACCCTCAGTCAGGTAGCTGCCTGTCCATGCACACTTCCCTGACTCCACTGATCTCAAGCACTTCAGCAGTCCAGTGCAAAAAGGCAAACTGATGGAGGAGGCTCAGGGCAGAGGCTGGTGCAGTCTCTTGAGAACCAGCGTCCTTTGCGTCCCAGGACTTTCCAGGCACTGGCGTTGGTGGGAGACGGCTTACGGCAGCAGCAAGCCAGGGAACACCAAAGCATCAGCTGATGATGAGCCGACCTGGCACGGGAGCTGCAGGCACTCAGGGCTGCATGTTCAAAGGGGCCTCTGCACAGTGTCCGTTTTTGTGCAGCTAACTTCTGGTGTGTGCAGAACTCGCACACCTTTCAGCCCGAACACCTGTGCATGCAAGTGTTTGTGTGGGCAAAGTCACTTTGGGTTGTTTTAGCTCCTCTGGGTATGTGGACCTCTGGGTTTGGCTCCCCTCTTGCCAGCTTTGGAAGGAAATCTGCACCCTGCCAGAGGCCAGCTCAGCAGCACCTTCTTCCCTGCCATACAAGGACAGACAAACCAGAGCTGAAGGATTTGCCCATGCACAGGGGCCCTTCAGGGACTGGACTTATGTCCTAGAGCCTGGACAACTGCCAACTTGAGGCTTAGGTGCCGCCAGGGATTTTCAAAGTTGCCTCGACAGGAAGGACCGAGCATTTTCCTCTATCCACAACTCACCCCACTTTGGAGATGGGGGTTCTCTTCTTCTCACGCTCCATCCAAATGCAAACACTCAAATGGCTGCACAATACAGGGCAGAAATAGCACCTGCCAGAGCGAACAGCAGCTGAACCCAGGAAGTACAGAAGCTCTGAGGGGCCTGTCAGAACCACAGATGTTCCGTGAGTTCGCACCCTGGCTGTAAGATGATTTGTGATGGTGTATGTCCGCTCACACAGTGGCGAGCGCATGACGCCTAGCCACGTGGGTGCGCTGTGTTCTGACCATGCTCACAAGAAGGGCAGGAGCACGACTAC